CGCAACCCCTCCACGCGATCGAATTAATTACCCGATGAACAACTCTGGAACAACCGACTTCCTCTTAGAGATGGCGCGGGCTCTGGCCGAAGGCTTCCGCACGTTCTGGGCCCAGCCGCTTCTGGCTCAACAATGTGTTGGACACTTATCGGCGTCAACGAGCCGCGCGCCATGATGAGGAAGAGGGCGAGGAGAGGGAGGAGCAAGGCGCGTGCGAGGACCCCATCGGCGTCAACGAACCGCGCGCCAGGGCGAGGAAGAGGGGGATTAGAGGGAGGAGCCAGGCGCGAACGAGGACCCTCAAAACCATGTCCGTGACTGCCCTGCCTCGGTGGCCGAGAGAGGTCCACGTGAAGCAGCGCCCTCTCTCTTCCTGCCCCTCCCCTCGCCCGCCATGCCCGCCTGCATTCCTCCCCCCTCTCCCTCTCTCTCGCCCTCCACTGTGCCGTGCTCTTCTACGCCATGCCATGCCGTGCTCTACCATGCATCGCGTACACTCTCGCGATCAGTGCCCTGCTCGACATCCGACTGTGCGAATAGAGAGGTATCTACACCATGTTAAGGGATGGGAGGGAGATGTATGACGTCAGATATGACGCGAGCGAACCCAGCTTGTCCCCCCCCTCCCCCACCTCCACCCATGCCGGTGAGGGGGGTATACCCTCATGGAGTGAAGAGGTGTGGAGAGCCTGGGGGAGGGTTGAGGCTTGAGGAGGGGAGTGGTGAAGGTGAGCAGGGCGACTTCTCACCACTCCCCTCCTCTACCCCTCCTTCCTCCTTTCTCCTCTTCCTCATCCTCCCCCCTCCCTCCTCCTCTGTCCCTCCTCCTCATTCCCCTCCTCCCTCCCTCCCTCTTCCCTCCCCCCCTCCCTGCTCTCCTCCCCCCTCGCTCCTCCCTCCTCCTCTGCCAACGGGGGTAGGCTAGCGTGTTGCCATCTATTCTGTTGCTCGCTATCTAGCTGAAGTTTTGCCACTCATTCAGGTGACCCCCAGAGGAGTGACCAAGTTGTGCCATTCTTCTTGCCCTCGCGGGGTAGGGAGCGCATTCGGCAATCAGGTCACGGCCTGGCATCCATGGCAGCGTTCCATCACCTCCCCGCTGCTCCCTCCTCCCACCTCCTCCTCCTCCTCCTCCTCCTCCTCCTTCTCCTTGCCCTAGTCCGTCACTTCTCCGCCCCCGCGCGTGTGCTGGGGGAAGGCCGACGGGGATCCTGCAGTAGATGCTTGGCAGAATTCACGGCCTCGTGACAGTGCAGAGCACGCGGCACTGAAGCACCTGCTGGGCACTGAAGCCCTCGTGGATCGATCCCGCCAGAAAAGCAGTCCGAGCGGATGTGGCGGAGAGCCTGGGTCGCGGCTCTTTCGCAGCGTCGTGCTGTTTCCACGACCACGCCGGACCAAATGAAACGGAGGGCCAAGATTCGAGTAGATCGACTGCAGAATTGACTTGCCCCAAAGTTGAACTTGCCGCCGGATCTACGCCGAATAAAAATGATGTTCGTCGATCGGCGGGACGTTCTGGGCATATTTTCGAAGATTCGACATATACTTCAAGCTTGGGGAACATTAATTCTGTAGTCGATCTCCTGCTCGAAGGGTAGAGGAGACGATCGTGGCGGCGATGGATTAACGTCTCTGGAAGCTTGCCCCCGGGCCGCCCAACACTGCCGCCAGCCGGAGGCTGGGGGCTGGACAGGGGCTGCAGGGATGGACGTGGGGCAGAAGGAGCAGATAGGAAGAGCAGGGGGTGGTAAGAATGGAGGGACGGGAGCGCGAGAAGCGCAGGCGATGATGCAGCGGGTGGGCTCTCTTGCCAACGCGAACGAGGGCCGCGCGCACGATGCCGCCGTATCCTATCTGCCCATGGCGGCTCGCAGGGCCGCGAGGTGGCCGGGGTCGTGCACGGCCAGGTAGTGCGGCAGCCACGGTCGCTTCACCGCGCTGAGGGCGAAGGGGGCCCAGGAACATCCAAAGAGCCCCCCCACCCACGCAAACCACCCAGAACCGATGCCACCTGACTTCTCGAGTCGCGTCAGATGACAACTGTCACATCTGACGGCCTTCCTCGTCGTCGTCCTCCTCCTTCCCCTCGCTCTTTTTTGTCTGCTCTTCATCGTTCTCCTCCTCTTCCTCCTCCTTTTCTTCCTGAGCATGCGACGGCCTCCTCGGCGGTGCTCGAAAGGTCGCCATGCAGAGTGCTGCGCTGGCGCAGTGGCGTGACTTGCCGCAGGCAACTAGATGCCAAAACTCTTACCTATACGACCACCCTTCGGGTGATAAGGAGGTTGTGGGGAGGGGCGGGAGAGGGGGGGGAACCAACATCTGACTCAATCGATCTTGATCCCCCTCAACGGGACACCGCGGGACACCACGGGACACTTGTCGATCTCACTATCGATCTCACTCAACGGGACACCACGGGCCACCACGGGCCACCACGGGACACCACAGGACACTGCGGGACACCTCTCGATCTCACTATCGGTCTCACTATCGATCTCACTATCGATCTCACTCAACGGGACACCACAGGACACCACGGGGCACCTCGGGACACCACATCGATCTCATTATCGATCTCACTCAACGGGACACCTGTCGATCTCACTATCGATCTCACTTTTTGGGACACCACGGGACACTTCAGGGCACCACATCGATCTCACTATCGATCTCACTCAACAGGACACCACGGGACACCACGGGACACCTGTCGATCTCACTATCGATCTCACTCAACGGGACGCCACGGTACACAACGGGACACCTCGGGGCACCACATCCATCTCAATATCGATCTCACTCCACGGGACACCACAGGACACCACGGGACACCACGGGACACCACGGGACACCGCGGGACACCGCGAGCCACGATCTCACTATCGATCTCACTCAACGGGACACCTGTCGATCTCACTATCGATCTCACTTTTTGGGACACCACGGGACACTTCAGGGCACCACATCGATCTCACTATCGATCTCACTCAACAGGACACCACGGGACACCACGGGACACCTATCGATCTCACTATCGATCTCACTATCGATCTCACATGATCTCACTCAACGGGACACCACGGGACACCACGGGACACCTCGGGGCACCACATCGATCTCAATATCGATCTCACTATCGATCTCACTCAACGGGACACCACTGGACACCACGGGACACCACGGGACACCGCGGGACACCGCGAGCCACGATCTCACTATCGATCTCACTCAACGCGACACCACGGGACACCACGGGACACCACGGAACACCGCGGGACACCGCGAGCCACCGCTGGACGGACGGACGGACAGGCGGGCGGGGGAGAATCATTTGTCTTAATTTCGCCCTAGCAGCGGCGGACACCACGGGACACCACGGGACACCGCGAGCCACCGCCAGACGGGCCGGCGGGGGAGAATCATTTGTCTTGACTTCGCCCTTGCAACGGCGGACACCACGGGACACCACGGGACACCGCGGGACACCGCGAGCCACCGCCGGGCGGGCGGGGGCGAATCATTTGTCTTGACTTCGCCCTAGCAGCGGCGGACACCACGGGACACCACGGGACACCACGGAACACCGCGGGACACCGCGAGCCACCGCTGGACGGACGGACGGACAGGCGGGCGGGGGAGAATCATTTGTCTTAATTTCGCCCTAGCAGCGGCGGACACCACGGGACACCACGGGACACCGCGAGCGGAACATCGCCGCTTGCAACGGTGGACAGCAGCGGCGGACGGGACACCACGGGACACCACGGGCGGGACACCGCGAGCGCTGGACACCGGACAGGCGAGAATCATTTGTCTTGACTTCGCCCTTGCAACGGTGGACACCACGAGACACCACGGGACACCACGGGACACCGCGGGACACCGCGAGCCACCGCCGGGCGGGCGGGGGAGAATCATTTGTCTCGACTTCGCCCTAGCAGCGGCGGGTTCATTCCTCTCGCGCGCCCACGCAATTTCGCCTCGCCCGCACGCACGACACGAACGAAACGAAACGATTTCCCGGTTGGGGGTCTCCGCTCCACTGCGATCTCACCCCCCAACCCCTCCGACGTGATCGGGACCGAGCTGGCTTAATGGCTTACCCATTACCCCCAGGCTGTCCGTGGCCCCTCAAGGTCTCTCGATCCATCTCCGGGGCATTTTTGTCGTCGCGGGTTTTGCTTTCATGGTCCCGGGACCAAGGCGACCCTCCCCCCGCAGGCGCCGACATCGTGGCACGTCGCCCGTCGTGACGTGGCCGCCGCGCCTGGAGGACCTGGCACGGGCACCAGTCCTGGGCCCAGGATCAGCCTGGTCATGACCAGCGTGGATGTATAAGCGTAGGGTTATCGTTGGCACCGAGGCGAAGATAGATAATCTGCGGGGGCGGATTTGGCAGAGCGATGTCTTTAGCAGTGCACCAGGCAGCAACAACAGTTTACGACTCCCCGCCCCCCAGGACTGACATCTGTCACTAGTAAGGGTTCACAGTAGGAACGCAAGAGCCTTCTCCTCTGCCTCCTGCTCCTCCTCCTCTTCCTCCTCCTCCTCCTCCGCCTCCTCCTCTCCTCCTCAAGGTGCCAGGATGACGCTTCTGGGTGCTGGATGTGTCATCGTTTCACCCGAAGGGGGGGGTCCTTAATGGCTTCCTGAGGTTAGCTGGCGCGCCCCCCCCTCCCCTCCGAGAGAAACTGACGCCAGAAGGACCCCACTGATGCTGATCAAGAATGAGGCGCAGAAGGAGGAAGACGACGAGGAGGACTTTCCCGCGAGGTGGGGGGAGGGAGTGAACTCCCGAAAAATCGGATGGAATCGGCTATTCGCGAAAATATCTGCTATGATGTATCAGCCGGGGGAGTGCGACGAGATACGTATCGTCGCAGCCCAATATCCCGCGAGGAGGAAGAGGAGGAGGAGGAGGAGGAGGAGGAGGAGGAGGAGGAGGAGGAGGGTGGAGGAGACTCCCGCGATGCGGAGGGAGAGAGAGAGGAAGGAGGAGCAGGAGGAGGGGAGGAGGAGGGCAAGCAGGGAGGAGGAGGGGGGGGCAGTGGGGATGCTCCAAGGGCGCCGCTCTGGCATTGCCACCCTTCCTGGCCCGCAGAGGCCGGCGGAGCGACCAGGGCAGCAGGAGCTTGTTGCCGCTGCCGTCGCGGTGGAGCTCCCAGCCCTCCCGCTCCACGAAAGCCTCGGATTCGGGCGGGCGGGCCCGCGTGGGTGGGCCGGCAATGCTGGAAGAGGCAGCTCCTTGGAGAGGCATTCGCAAGAACGATGCAGGGCTCTTGCCTGGAGATTTTACCTGGCGTGTGGCGGCGGCGGCCCTGGCGACGCGCTGTGCCTTGCGAGCGGATCCAGTCGGACTTGATTGGAGAGGACACGCGAGAGGACAAAAGACCCTTTCCGAGGGGCACAATGCCATAGGAATGCAGGAGGCACGGGTCGCAAGGCACAAAACACGAGGGTACCCTTGACCTGGCAGGGTCGACCTACTAATCCGGGCCGCCTGTAGCGTGTCGCTCCGCTCCGCGGGGCGGAAGGCTCGGAAACGCTCAGGACATGGACGCTGCGGGTCCGGGAAGTGGGCAGCGCGTCGCAGCAAAGCGTGAAGGGCCAGAACCGGCGGAGCGACACGCTATCTAAAACTTCCCGACCGCATCAGGCCCAAACAAGGGGCCGTTGGGCCTGAGGAGCCCATATCAAACTCGATAAAACTGGATGATGCAGGATTGAATGGGACTGTGCCGGATCAGGCCTGGTCTCGACCACGGAAATGCCAGCGCCGATGCTGCACTTGACCTCCCAAAGAGTTGCATCCAGAGGCATGGGCGGGCTCTAACGGCTGGGTCGAGCGGCCCGAACACACTGAAGCGGGCTGGGCGGACTTTCAGGCCGTCCTCTTAGAGGCGTTATGGTGCTACAACCAGACCAAAGATAGAATAACATCCTTCAAGAACATGGGACCCTCCGCCAGCCAGGACACATACAGAATATCCGAGGGTACCCTCCCCAGGATGCACAAGAAACTCCAACAAGCACGAAGGACATTCGGGTACCCTCCCCGAGCCGACTTCGATCTTCTGCCTCGGTCCGGCTGTGTCTGAGGCCACCTGAAGGGCAGCTGCTGCCATCCCGGACGCTCCAGCCCCTCGCGCCGCCCCCTGCCCTCGGATGACACCAGCACCAGCCCTGGCCAGGCCCATCCTGGGCCCTGGACTGGTGTATGGACCTCCAAGCCGCCTGTACACCAGTCCGGGGCCCAGGATGGGTCTGGCCAGGGCTGGTGGTGGTGCACTGCTTGGAGCTCTCCTGTGCCGCCCACCCCCCGCGGCTCCCCGAGGTGGCCCGAGGACCGAGGCCTTCTGTAGCTCGCTCTCGGCCTCTTCTCGGATTTTCCACTCGGGGTGCTTCGAGGGCCGAAGCCTTCTCTGGAGCTCTCTTGGCCTCGGCTGGGGCCTTTGCGAGGCCCCTGGGCGCCTGTGTGGGGACCTCCGGGCAGAGCCCCTGCCCCCTCCTACTCCGAGTCCTGCCGGTATACCCCTTCGCCAAGACACCCTGCGGTCAAGACGACCGCGGACCAGGCTGCGGCGGGCGCAGGGCCACCAAAAAAATGCGGCCGCAACGCCCGCTCGGGGTTCGAGAAAGGGCCCTTCGCCAATCGACTTAGCAAGGCGGCGTTTCTATCGACCTCCGATCGTGGTTTCAAGATACGGACACGAAGCGCCGCTAGACTTCCGTGACTTTGGGGTTCCGCCCACGGGCTGCGCCACCAGCGCCGCGGACTCTTCATAGCCACGGGGTCCCGCTCATGGGTTGCGAAGTTGCCGCCGCTGGTTTTTCGTGGCTGCCACAAGGCCTCGACCACGAGTTGAGCCACGGGTGCCGCTGACTCTTGGTGGCTACAGTGTCCCGCCCAGGGGGTCGGGCACCTGCTGCCCCAAGCGGTGCTGGCACGCCACTGTCCTCCCCTGTTTTTGCAGCGCAGCGCGTGGAGCCACCGAAAGCTCGTGCAGATGTGTGAACCAATGCGCAAGCGCTGTCCGCTCGCGCTCATCGTCGTCTGGCCAACACGAGCGCACCTAGATACGACACAGGGCGCATCCTGCTCCGGACCCTGGTCTCGCCCACATGCTTTATGAGTCGTGCCCCGTCCTCCCCCTTCCCCGCCCGCCCCCGCTCTCACCCCTCATCCTCCTGCTCCTCCTCCTCCTGCTCCTCCTCCTGGTCTTGCTCCTGAATCTCCTCCTCTTCCTCCTCCTCCTCCCTTTCGAGCCTTTCGAACGCGGCTCTGTGCTGATCCTCCTCCCCCTCCTCCTCCACTTCCTCCTTCTCCTTCTCCTCCTCCTCCTCCTCCTCCTCCTCCTCTTCCTCCTCCTCCTCCTCCTCCTCCTCCTCCTCCTCCTCCTCCTCTTGCTCCTCAGCGAAGGCCTCCAGCGCCGCTCGCACCTTGCGCGCGCCGCCTGGCGCCCATGCTGGCGGCAACACCGCCTCCAGTTCGCCCACGCGATGCCCGGTGGCCTCTCGCTGCCGCCGCCGCCGCCGTCCTCGCCGTCGCCGTCGCCGTCGCCGTCACCGTCGCCGTCGCCGTCGTCGTCGTCGTCGTCGTGGTGGTGGTGGTGGTGGTCGTCGTCGTAATCGGCGGGTAACGCCACCACTGTCTCGACTATCCATCCGCCGCCGACCTGCGGCTTTCCAAACATCCGAGGCAGTGACCTTTGGTGCGCGGCTTTTGGGGGGCCGCGGGGGGACCAAACTCAGGCGCGCAAGACGCTACTATCGCATCGCAATCGGTGATCGGGGGACCCCATTGTGCCCGCACCAAAGGTCACTCCGGCGAAAGGTCACTCTTACGTGTAGTCGACCAAATCGGGACTCTTTCCCGGACACCGGCTCTTCATTCCGAGTCGTGTAGTGTACAGCCCGAAAGCCCCGCAAGGCCCCCCAGAAACCAAAAACTGTCAGAATCCTTACGTCGTGTTCTGCATGACGCGAAGATGTCAGGGCGTGCCGACTGCGCTTCTCGTCTCGGTCGGCCCGTGTCAGAAAGAGTAAATCCCTGCCCGCCACGAGTGGGTCCCCCCTTGGTGTGCAAACGGCCTCGCGTTTTTGCGCGCCCCCGTCAACAGCTCCTCTATGCCCAACTCCCCGACATCACCCTTTTTCATAACGTCGACCCCCAAAAAATTCGACCCATTCCCCCGGACTGGTTTTTCATCCCGGACTTTCTTCTTGACGGATCTGAGGCCCAGTGGGGTCCTGCAGAGGCCGAACACAGCGGACAAAATAGCCGTCGTCGTTTTTTTTTTTTTGTTTTTTTTTTTTTTTTTTTTTTTTTTTTTTTTTTTTTTTTTTTTTTTTTTTTTTGTTTTTTTGTTGTTGTTGTTGATGTTGTTGTTGTTGTTGTTGTTGTTGTTGTTGTTGTTGTTGTTTTTTGTTAAAAATAGAAAAAATATTCGAGGGGAGAACACGCCGCGACGCACTAACTGAATGGGGGTTTGCCCCAGCTGCCCGTATGATGGAAGCTGCGGAGGGTGTGAGGCCTCATGGCGGTCTTCACTGGTAAAGCCTGTGATGGCGAGCGGCACTAGACGGCCGGCAAGGGACTGGAGTCCCTTTCACGGTCGTCCATCCAGGGAGGGCATGCTGCTACGCATGAAATGATTGCCAACAAGAAGTGTCAATGAAGAGATTTGGCAATGATTAGAGCGGTCCTCACCGATAAAGCCTATGATGGTCCTCGCTGGTAGTGAGGGAAAGGGATACCCGAGAAGGTCAATGACAGAAACTACAACCGCCGCGCAAGCCCAGGCACGAAAGAACCCAAACTAAAATCAAAAGAAACGGGGGTTCCACAGGCGGTAAGTCACGCCGCAGCCGCCGCCACTTCTAGGAGTGGCGCCCCCGTTGAACACTTTTCGCTCCTACCCCCCCCCCACCGAGGATTCCGGGACCCCCCCGCGCCAGTGCTGCTGCGCCCACTCGTACTCGTAGTCCAAGTCGTGGTCGTGGTCGTGGTCGTCGTCGTCGTCGTCGTCGTCGTCGTCGCCGAAGTCGTCGTCTACGACGTCCGTCGTCGGTGCCAGGTTCGTGGAGATTTCCCTCCGAAACCCCTATGATGGACGCTGCGGAGGGTCTAAGCCACCGCGCCAGCCCAGGCGCGAGAGAACCCACGATGAAAAAGAACGGGGGGTCCACAGGCGGGGAGTCACGCCGCAGCCGTCGCCATCTCGCGGCGTCACGCCACCATCGAACGCCATTTTCCTATCCCCCGGGGAGATGCCCTTGAAGAAGCGGCACGAATCCAAAGGCGGTCCCCCCCGCGCTCGTGCTGCTGCGCCTACTCGTATTCGTGATCCCAGTCGTGGTCGGCATCGTCGCCGAAGTCGTCGTCCACGATGTCCGTCGTCGGTGCCAGGTTCGTGGGGACCTGCCCCCGCAGCCCCTATGATGGACGCTGCGGAGGGTGTGAGGCCTCATAACGGTCCTCACCGATAAGGCCTACGATGGTCCTCGCCAAGGGGAAGGGTGAAGGATACCTCACATGGGCAGTAAAGCTAAAACCACCGCGCCAGCCCAGGCACGAGAGAACCCGCGATGAAAAGGAACGGGGGGTCCACAGGCGGGGAGTCACGCCACAGCGCCGCCACCACTTCGCGGCCCCACGCCCTCAGAAGGGCGGCGAAAGAACCCGCGGGGTCCCTCACACGCAAACAAGAAGAGCGCCCCTCCCCCCCGCGACGCCCTCCTGGCGCTCCGGAGGGGGCAGGCACCGCCCCGTTTTGGGGCCGGCCCTCCCGCTCTCCGAACTCCGAACTCACCCCGCGCCGCCCGCCGGCCTCCTCGCAGTCCAGGTCGGCGCGCAGGCCCGGGAGCCCGAGCGGGCCCGCGACGTCGGCGCGCAGCGCGTAGCTGCGCCGGCGCGTGCGCAGCTCCGCGAAGGGCCGCACGCCGGCTGCGGCGAGCGCGGCGGCGAGGCTCGCTCCGGGGGGCGCCTCGGCGGGGGCGGCCCTCCTCGGGGCCCCTCGGCGTGCCCTCCTCGGCACCCTCGAGCACCCTCGACGAGGCCATCCTGGACGCCCCGGGGTCCTCCTCCTCCTCCTCCTCCTCCTCCTCCTCCTCCTCCTCCTCCTCCTCCCCCTCCTCCCCCTCCTCCTCCTCCTCCCCCTCGGCACCCTCGAGCACCCTCGACGAGGCCCTCCCGGACGCCCCTCGGTCCCGCAAGCCCCTCCCGGCCCTCGCGATCCTCGGCGGGCCTCTCGGCTTCCCAGAGCTCCGGCGGTCTGATTCTTTCGCAGTCCCGCGTTTTGCCTCGGCTTCGGCCGCCGGGGCCCGCGGTCGGGCCCTGGGGCAAGCAATAGTGGGTCTGGGACGAAGCGCTGCTCCAGGGGAAGTCGTCGGGAGCTCTGGGGCCGCGGATTTGAACACGTCATAATGGAGAATGCTGGAGCTCCTCGACCATCCCCTCGATCCCCACCCCCGGAGCTCTGGGGCCGCGGATTGAACAAGTCATAATGGAGAATGCTGGAGCTCCTCGACCATCCCCTCGATCCCCACGCCCCCCTCGGCCTGTGCTCAAGGGAAGCTACAGCACCGCTCAACGATGTGCTGTCAACCAAACCTGCAGGGTGGGTCCTGGCCTTTTTCTGTGCACCTCAGCTTTGGCTTCGGCTTTAGCTGTGGGTGCAACGGGAAGCGCCCTCGGGCCAGCTGCTCACCCGAGTCATTTTTTCCGCTCGTCCCCCCCGCCCCGCTCGATCCTCGACAACCCTCTCGACCCAGCTGTCCCACGTCTTGATTTTTTCAATATACGGGGTCCGTGGAACTAATGCCTTTTGCCCCAGGGCCGCTTTTTCATCCCGAGTCGTTTTTGACAGTCCCAGGGCCCGGCGAGGGCCCCGGAAAGCCGAACACGGTAAAAAAAACATCTGTCGTGTTCTTGATGACGCGAGCACGCCTGGGGACCATCATCGAGAGATCCTCGAACCTCGGTGGTGACGGTGAAGGAGGGGGCACCTCGACGAGGGCGGGGCCCCCCAGGCGGGCGGAGATCTCGGCCCTGATGTCGCCCTCGTCCTTACAGGGGGGGAGCTGTCGTCGAGGAGCTGTCGTCGAGGGGGGACGTCGTCGTCGTCGTCGTCGTCGTCGTCGTGGACGTAGTCGTCGTCGTCGTGGTTGTCGTCGTCGTCGTCGTCGTCGTCGCCGTCGTCGTCTTCGTCTTCGTCGTCGTCGTCGTCGTCGTCGTCGTCGTCGTCGTCGTCGTCCCCAAACCTCATACGTGTTGAACAACAACCGAGACAACGGTGTTTCGCCGCCGTCGGCCTCTGGGGGCCCTCGCCGGGCCCCGAGACCGTCAACGAAATGGCTCAGGACGAAAAGCACGCCCTGGCGGCAGGGTCGGGACTTCCGGGGGCCCAGTATTGAGAAAGCAAGACCTCGGATCTCCTGGGCGTCGTCGAGGGAATCGAGGACCGAGGGCATCGCGGGTCGAGAGGATCGAGAAGGTCGAGAGGGTCAAAGGCTCGAACGAGAGGGCCCTGGGGGCCCTCGGTTCTCCCAACGCTCCCGTACTGTTTGGAATCCTCTCTCGCTCTCCGCAGCGCCGCGCGTCCCGCGTCAGCTCCCGCCTCCCCCTCCCCACCATTCCCGGACCTCCTCCTGTGCTGATCTCGGCCCTCCTGGGAGTGGGAGGGCCCTGTGGGGCCCCCGGCGCCGTGCTTCCCAATCGGTGCTTGCGGTGAGGCTTCTCTTGCTCGCGATCGGGTGAGCGTGCCGGGGCCTCGCCCAGTGGGCGCCCACAGGCCCTTCGTGGATGCCCCGTGCGCTGGGTGAGCACAGGACACACAAATAAATACACACAATGAAAGGATTCCCAATTTTTTTCAGTATTTTTTGGATTTTCGTCTTCCCCCCCACTTCCCATATTTTCGCATATTTCCTGGGGCATCGAGGATTAATTGTGTCTGTGTGTTTTTTCCTCTCCTGATTAACACAAAGACTCGGAGGCCCGCGCGGACTTCTTGGATCCGCGCTGGACCCCCCTCCCAAGCGCACGGAGCGCGCCAGTGGCGGCGCCAGAGGCGCCGCCAAGGGGCCCCCGCGCCGATCCGAGGAACCCGCGCGGACCCTCGAATCTTTACTGCTTCATGTCCTTGCTCGTTCCCCTAGGATCGTGTCGTGGCTTCGTCCGACGGGCGCCTCATTCGGGTGTGCGTGCTGGGGCTTCGCCCACGTTGAAGGGGCCCAAAGACACACAAATAAATACACACAAATAAAAGAATTCCCCATATTTTCTCGTATTTTGTGGGTTTTTGTCTTCCCCACCACTTCCCATATTTCCCCATATTTTCCTGGGGATCGACGGTTAATTGTGTCTGTGTGTTTTTTCCCCTCCTGACACGTGGGCGCCCGCGGTGCGCTTCCGGTATGCCCCACGCGCTGGGTTCGTGTTCCGGGGTGGTCTGCCGGGTGGGCGCCCGAGGGGCGCCTCGGGGGCGCCCACGGCGCCATGCGCAGCATGTGATGCACCACGTAGCACACACCGCATAGCTTGCAACACAGCATACACCACACAGCCTGCGCAACATCGGATGCACCACGTAGCGTATACCACACAGCTGCGCAACACAGAGCCTGCGCAACACAGGACGCACCACACAGCGCATACCACGCAGCTTGCAGCTCGTAGCTTTCACCACGCAGCACGCAGCACAGGCAGTGCATTCAATGACTTGCACACCCCTTATGTTGCACCATATTTTTGCACCCCATGGCTTGCACCACACATTGTAACATGCGCCATGTGTGTTCCCTTCCCCAGGAATTATAATAACCTCTCCCCTGTCGAGGCCAGACTTATGCGTTCCCCTCCGCGTATTGCGTGCGTTCGTTCATAATCTATTATGCATAAATCAAACGCCCCGAATCTCAGCTTACAGCATGCTGTGCAGTCTCACTATCGCCCCCTATCATCAGCCCTGTCAACTGTTATAATGAGGTGCTCTAAATCTTTATTTCCTTGCAGCAGTTGCCCATGAGGAGCACCCGCGCTCTCCGCCGAGCACGCATGTCAACATGACTCCGAATCACCACTGTTGCTTCTATGTAAGCAACAATTTCAAGACATGGCTGCTTCTGCGCACGCACTCGTTAAACTCATTGGAGCACCGTCGGTTCAAAACTGTTCTGTCAAATGAGAGAACGTGCGGGATACACGCGCGAATGTCGAACACGTTCAACGCTTATCGCGCAACCAAAAACCATGTGAAATAATAAGCTGCGGGCCATACGCGCCCGTCTCCGGGTTTCCACGTCAACATCCATAGAAAGGTAATGGTTTTCTGAAAAGTTCAGCGGATTTCGGAGGCATCTGGAGGTTCTTGGGAGATTTCTGGAGGTCTCTGGAGGATTAGGAAGACGAGGGGGATGAAGAGGAGGAGGAGGAGGACGAAGACGAAGACGAGGAAGAGGAGTGCGAGGAGGTTGAGGTCCCCACACCCCTCGCCTTCCCTCTCTCTCCTCCCTCTCCACCACCGCCTCCTCGTCCTCCTCCTTCTCCTCCTGCCCTCAATTGTGATTAAACTTGTTTTCTCTCGGTGCCCCCATTCTCAACCCTTTTTCTGTTGACGCCCCCAAGCGGGGACACAAACAACGGAAATGCCGCGAACCCAAAACGGGCAGAAAACATAATTCCGAGGTGGAAATAAAATGATGGACAACTTCTGTCACACGTGAACGGTGGTGGCCTCTAGTAATGTGTGGGAAACACAAAAATGAACGGGCCAACAAAACACAACATCAATTCCAGACCTGATAACGGAAAGATATGTCTCTGGAAACGGGGGTAGACATAGGTCAACACGAAAAGGACATTGTTTTCGTGTGGAGGTGCGCAAGTCGGAATAACAATGAGATCCGAATCTTACAGAAACGCGTAAAGTGGAAAACTTGGAACAACGACACGCGCGTTCTCATCAGGTCGCGCGCGTGCCCTGGCTCTTGCACGAGGGAGCGGCGATGGACAGGAGAAACGGCGAATCAGGTGCAAGGAGGTCCGAGATGGCAAGGGAGGTCAACGATGACGACAACGAACATAAAAGGGCTTCGCGCCACAGGGCCAGGCCAGAAGGGCCAGGAGTCACGGGCCAGAATATCGGGGAGGTCCGAATTGGGCAGGGGGGCGGGCGACGTCGAACGACAACGGCGACCAAAAAGGCTTCGAGCTCTAGAACACAGCTGCGCAAGAGATTGGCATCTAAGCTCCTGCTCCTCCCTCCCTCCATTCCTCCTCACCGTTCTCCTCCTCCTCCTCCTCCTCCTCACCTTCCTGTCCTTCCTCTCTTCTCCCCTCGCGCCCTCATCGTTTGAGCTCCGCGTCGCCTCACCTTGCCCTGCAAGCGCCTCTGCGCTCGATGCGAGGTGCTCCACTGCACAGCACTGGCAAGAGTTGTCTGCGCCCAATCCTGGCGTACCGATGCCTAATGATGGCTGGGGCCCTTCCAAGACGCTCTTCTCATTTGCCACCCCGGGCGTATCAAGAACCTGACCACTTTTTCAGCAACTGCGAGAGAATAACGCATTGGTCGCTCCGAATAATTGCCACTGCGGTTGCCGCGAACTTAATCCGATTCAGGAATCCGAGGCGAAGCACGGAGACGCCCGCGAAGAATGACAATGAGGAGGCACCATGAAGCTGGGAGCGCACGCAAACGGCTGGATTCACACGAGGACCTTGCGGATGGCACGCGCTCTGGGCGCGACAATCGCCACAGCCTCTGCCTACCTACCTGTTAGCAAAAAGTAAGCTGTAGCCTGCCAGGGGGAGCTTAACGCATTTATGATTGCCACACGTTCCCTCGCTCCTCAGATTTTGCCTCCGCTCTCGTTCTACACCCTCCTTGTACGACATGCATCCTCCGATCACTGCAATAATCTAGAACGATGTGAAGCTAAGGACGGCAAGTGTACGAAATATGAGCCTCTTCGAGTCCGTCGCGCCATCGGACCTTTCCGCAATGCACAATTTTCCGTTGCTGCGCGTGTGCGCGGCATGCTCCAGCAAAAACACCCTCCTCCGCCTTCTCCTCCTCCTCCTTCTCCTCCCACCTCGCCCTCGTCCCCCCTCCCTCCCTGTCCTGCAGCTCCAGGTAGCTGGCGCTGTCCTCTGGCAGCGGCACCTTGAGCTCCCAGGCCTCGTTTCTCAGGCGCAGCCAGGCGTTGCCCAAAGTCAAGCAGTGGTTGGGGCCTCCCTGTCTCGCCCCTCCCCTCCCCTCTTCTCCGTCCTCTTGCCGCCTCCCCTGTCCGTCCTCGGCTGGTCTCTCGTCCTTTTTCGTTCGTCCTAGAACCTCTTTTTTCCCCGACGAGGTTTTGCCTAAAGAATTTCTACGTGATCGTGGAAAAGACCGGTGGGTGTGGGGTCCTCCACCCCTGGCTTTCCTTGGGGGTGCGAAGCAATGCCGGGAAACGCCTGGCAATGTCAAGCAATGCCAGTACATGCCGTTCCAAGCGAAAACAAACAACGCCAAACAGTGCTAAGCAACGCAAAGGTAATGCAACACTGGTGCCAAGCAGTGCAAATCAATGGGCCACACTGAAAAGAAAAACAAGGAATGCCAATCGATAGAAAACGCGGAACACAATGCGAATCAATGCCAATGAATAGCAATGCGAAGCAAAACCAACTAATGACAAGCAGTGCCAAGCAACTGCACGCAACACTACGAACTTCCAAAACATGCCAAACAACACATCGCAATACTGAGCAATGGCAAGCCGCGCCACGTCATGTCTAGCCAGGCCTAGCAATGCTAAGCACTCCAAAGCAACGCTTAGCAATACCAAGCCATGTCAAGCAATTCTAAGCAATGTCAAGCACTGGAACCAATGCAAATCAGTGCCATACGACACCAAGCGACGCCAAGAAATGCAACGCAACACCAAATAATGATAAACAATGCCGGGCGACGATTCTACACCGATTCTAGGCAACGCCAAGGATTACCAAACAATTCGAAACAGTGCAAACTAATGCCCAATGCTGCCAGTCACAGCCAACATATTCTTTGCATTCGGTTGCCTTGCGTTGCTCAGAACTGCTTCGCGTTGGCTTGGAACAAAAAAACATCGGACTTTAGTCGCGCTGGGTTCATGTGTCCTCTCTGTCTCTGTTTCTCTTTTTCTGTCTCCTTCGCCCTCTCTCTCTCTCTTTCTTCTCCGTCTCTCTATCTCTCTCTCTCTCTTTGTCTCTGCCTCTGCTTCCGTTTCTCACACAAACGCACTTTCTCTCTCTCTCTCTCCCTCCCGTTCCCTCTCTCTCTCTCCCTCTCCCTCTCCCTCGCCCTCTCTCTCTCGCTTTGTGTCTCTTTTTCTCTCTGTCTCTGTCTCTGTCTGTCTGTCTGTCTCTCTCTCTCTCTCTCTCTCTCTCTCTCTCTCTCTCTCCCCCATTCAGGTCACTCACGAATTTGGGTGCCCTTCCTTGCGCGCCGGCTCGCCTAGCGCAGTCCACCACCTGCAACGCCTCGTGGAATTTGACATGCTCGAACGATGGTGCAGTCACCTTGCCAGAGGAGGAACCAATCTCTCTCTCTCTCTTTCTACCTATCCTTCCCGTTTCCCCTTTCTTCTTCCCCTCCCCCTCGCCCTTCCGCCCTCCCTCCCCATCTCCCTGTACAGGTACTCATTCCGACTTCCGCTATCACATAGCCTCTGACAACGTCGTTGTGCCAACCACCCCCTCCGCGTACAGTCTGCCACGCGCAAGGTTCCAGTAGTCTTCTATCTTTGGCCACACTGTGTGCCCCCCATTCGGTACATCTCCGGTCGTTCCGCAGGGCGCCCGTGGCCCCGACGCCCTGCCTCACTCGTGCCCTCAACACATGCTAATGATGAACGCTGCTCTGCCCTGTCCCCCTCGGCATTCCCGGCGCCACTTCCAGCGGCGCCTCTTGGGCGCGTGAGTCGGCGGTGCCGCGGTGCAGCCTGGTCGTGAGGCTGCGGGGGCTGCTGGTGGCAAGACTTCCCTGTCTCGCCAGCCGGCCCGAAAGTGTACGCGCGGGGGGTTCGACAGGATTCTTGGACTGCCGCGTGCGAACCTCGCAGCGCATGAACGCCGACGCACCAAAACCTGGTGCGCCCCGTCGTTCCTTGATGGCTCGATCTCATATGCGGTAGGTGGCGCTGCACGGAACCAAGGCGCCGGAGGACACCGCCAACCTTCTTGCATAAATGTACGATGCCGCGCAGGCAGCCGCAGAGTCGTGGTTGCCCGAGGCGCTGCCCTGAGAGGCGCCAACAACAACTGCGCCGGGCAGGCTAGAAATTTCACGAAGTCGTGCAGGCTGTCCCATATCCCGCCGAGTCCGTGCGTGTCCACGTTGATTCGGCAGCCAAGCAGATGAACTGCCAACGAAACTCCTTGTGGGCGGAGCTCCAGCCTCCTGTGCGCGAGACGTTTCGCTGCTCGCACGGCTGCGAGGGACTGCAGGGGTTCCTCATATCAAAGCACCACTTCATGCCTGTCGCAAAAACGACGCTGATGCTGTGCGTGCAACTGCGCACTGGACAGAGAGAAACCACCGAAGCGCTGGTGAACGAGCGGAGCCGGCTTGTTGCATTTCATTGAGAACCCGTTGTGGCGCTGGAGGCTAGTAGCAACACCTAAACTGGCCTGCTCTCCCAACCGAATTTTCTGACGTGCGGCCTCGCCTCCCCTGCCGGTGCTTGCCCTTGCTGCTGCTCATGCGCCCCTGTGACGTCATCTAGAAAACATGTACTTCTTCGTTCGAGCTTGCAGTCGCAACGCCCTGCCATGTCGAGGCCAACTGGCAACCTTGGACTGCAGGTCTGAAACGGTGCATGTGGACAGGCCTGCTCTCAAGGCCAGCGCTTTGCGCCTTTGAAGAGCAAACGAGACTAAGAACAGCACCAGCACACCCACGGAAGGGAAGGTGGGCACCCAAGACCCCGGATCACCCGTCTGACCAGGAATATCATGATGACCGTGGGGAATCAGATTGCTCTGCCCTCCCCCCCTTCCTCCCCCCTCGACTGCTGACTGGCGTGTGTCTGGCCGAAAATGTCCCCAACTCCTGGGGCCTCGTCTGCGGGCCGCTCTGTGGCCGCCCTGGCCTGCAGCCCTTGAGATACACCGGGCCAAGACTATCTCTATCACTAACCGAGGTTGGCTGGTCAGCGAAGGGGCCTTTTGGCCCTTGCCCAGCTTGGCCAGCCGACAATGTATCAACGCCCGACTGCCCTTGGCAAGGCCGAAGTTGAATGCAGACGGCCCCCCTGGGGGGTGTTCTGGCTGTCCTCATCAGGCCGACACGGTAGCCAGGGTCGACTTCAGCCCCCCAAACCTGCCCGAGTGGCGCCGCGGGAAGCGGCGCTGGATGTTAAGACTACCTTTGACTACTCGTGGGGCGTGTTGAGCACGGCTGGGACGATTTCTGGGGGCTGCCTGTGCGCATCTCTGGGTGCCCCCCCGCGCCCCTCCGTCGAAATACACGTCCACGAAGCGGGATTCCAGGGCGGGGCCGCCTCCCGCCAGCGCCGCGATCCTCGCCTCCACCGCCTCGTCCCAGTGGAACCTCACCTCAATCTCCACCTGCCCAGAGGGGCCCCGAGGAAGGCAAGCGGCCCGGAGAGTGCACATCGTTCACTTCTGATGTCACTCCGCTTGTTTGCGATCGATCGTGGCCCGATGAATGCCACAGAAGGCCCTCGGGCAGAGTCGTCGTAAGTGAGAGGAGGTTGTCCCTCCCAGGGACCAGCTCCCCTGGAAGGCTGATGATTGGCAGCGTGGCCCCCCAAACAGAAGCTCCTTGTATTGTCGATTTGTAAATAATGTAAGATAATGCAATACATGTGGTGCAAAACGTCAAGCAATCTAGGACATGCATCTCATGGGTGCAACTCATGGGCGCAGTCGGCTAAATGCAATGTATGGCGCGCAGACAATGGAGTACCTATGGGGTGCAACATCTGGATTGTTGTTTGTATCCACGCGTTTCCACCTCCAATGGTGATGATGATGATGATGATGATGATGATGATGATGATGATGATGATGATGATGATGATGATGATGCTGTTGCTGCTGCTGATGATGATGACGATGATGGCGCTGGCGATGACAATAACGACTGTACAGATGAGGATGGTGAGGAAGTGCGCGCTCACAGAAATCCACGAGAGCCTACATACGTACTTATGTAGAACGGCCATTTGATTTCGTATGTTGTTGTGCAACGCTGTGTTTAAATCCATGAAGCACGGAGCTGTCATAGGGAGGATAGTGAAGAAGCCATGTGTTTTCACTGCTTGGACCGCCCGCTCTTCAGAACCATGCGTTTTCCCAGACTGGAGGACCCTGGAGGGCCCAATCGCCTGAGAACTCCTCGGATATCGACCCGAGTCCCCAAACCGTGCGGTCACCCCGAATCCCAACTGACTCGCCACATGGTGTGGTCACCGCAGCGTCTGGGGATCCCCGGACAAAGCAGTCCTTTAAGAGGCGCACCCTATGGGCCTGCGCCATGCGCGAGCACGCTGGCCAAGGGCCGCCCCCTCCCGTGCCGCGGAAGCCAATTCGGCGCGTCTCGACACCGCCGCCGCCATCGCCATCGTCGCCGTCGTCGACGTCGTCGTACTGTCGTCTCCGTCATCGCCACCATCGCCGCCGCCGCCGCCGTCGCCGCCGCCGTCTCCGCCGTCGCGCTGGTCGCCGTCGATGTCGTCGTCGTCGTCGCCATCGGGCCGAGCCTGCGACGCTGCGACGGTGCCGCTGCTGGCCCAGCGGGCTACGCCCCAGCGCCGCCCAGCGGCGGCGCCCGCCGCTGCGGCCGCCGGGGCGGCGCGAGGCCCCAAGGGCGCCCAGCGGGGCCGCCCGCTGGCTGGCGGAGGCGCAGCGGACAACGGCGCGGGGCCAAGGCATGCGGGCGGAGCCCAGTGGGGCCGCCAGCCCACTGGCGGAGGCGCGGGGTTCAGCGGCGGGGCGCCGAGGCGTGCGGGCGACCGGAGGCTGCTGGCAGGGCGGAGGGGTCTAGCATGGCGAGAGACCGGCCAGCTCCCATACGGTGCCAAAGGGGGTCTCCGCTGGGCGGGTAGCCCCTCCTCCTGGGGAGGATGACCCCCCAGGTCCGCCCCTCCCCTCCCCCCCTCAGAACTATCCGAAAGGGCCAAAGAGCGTCCGAAAACCTCTTCGATCCTCGACCCTCCCTCCTCCTCGATCCCCGATTCTCTGAAGGAAGCTCCCTTGGTGGTGACCCCTTTGGTGGTGACCCCCCTGGCACTGCCTGAATCGGCTGCACGCAAGAGTGACTCTGGCACGAGTAACTTTTGGTGCGCGGCGCCAGAAGGCCGCGGGGAAGCCAAATCCACGCGCGCAAGCCGGTGAAGGCGAGACCCCCGTGGGGCCGCGCTGAAGGTCACTCTGGCGAACGGCCCCCTCGGGCGTGGCCGACTGGAGCTCTGCGCCACGCTTGGCCAGAGGCCCATCCTGGGCCCGAGGCGTCCGTGCTCGAGCCAAGGCGGAAGGGCGCGTGCACAGAGGGGCAGAGGCCCAGGACGGGCACGGCAAGGGAGGAGGAAAAGGAGAAGGGGGAGGAGGAGGAAGAGGAGGGGGAGGGGGAGGAGGAGGAGGAGGAGGAGGAAGTGGAGGAGGAGGAGGAGGAGGAGGAGGAGGAGGAGGAGGAGGCGAAGGAGAGGAGGAGGAGGAGGAGGAGGAGGAGGAGGAGGAGGAGGAGGAGGAGGAGGAGGAGGAGGAGGAGGGGTAGGAGGAGGAGGAGGAGGAGGAGGAGGAGGAGGAGGAGGAGGAGGAGGAGGAGGAGGAGGAGGAGGAGGAGGAGGAGGAGGAGGAGGAGGAGGAGGAGGAGGAGGAGGAGCGGCAGAGGCCCGCAGAAGGGGCCTGCGGCCTGCAGTGAGGGATGCGGCCGCGGGGAGCGGCCTGCGGCGAGCAGACGGGGGCTCCGCTTCGGGCGGCGCGGGCGGCCTTCTCTCCGAGAGGGCACGGGGCCTCTCCGAGGGAGGGCCGCCCGCCTAGCAGCCGCACGCCCCCCACGCACCTCCAGAAGCGCAGAGGGGGGGGCTTCTTAAAGAGGGTCGCCCGGCCCCCCGCTCCCTCCTCCCTCCTTCCTTCTCCCCCCTCGTCTTCCCACCTCCCGCACGCCGCCAGGGAGACGGAGGCGCATGCGGGCACGGAGAGGGGTGGGGGCAGTGGCAAGGGCGTGGACGGCCTGGTCGCGCACGGGCCTGGGTCACTGGCGCGCTGAGGCCTGGGTCGAAGGACGGGATCCCTGCCTGCACGACGGCCGCGAGCCACGTACCGCCGTCAGTATGCAGCAAGAAATTGCCACTCCGTTCTTCTTCTCTTGGCAACCTCAAGCCCGCGAACGTCAGCCAAAATATTTGCGCGTGATTTCCCCCAGCCGGCGCACTCTGCACTGCGCTGGGGCTCCAGAACCTCGGCCTTCTCTCGCACGGACATCGTGCCGCTTCTCTGCTGGTCCTTGGGGGGGGCCCGAAGCGGGCATCCTAGAAGGCGCAAGCCCCCCTCTCCCGAAGGCTGGCATTCCTGTTTTTTTTTCGGGACGTGGGAAGTCTGGGCCCTCGGCAACTCTAACGGGCCAGCGAGGCCTGCTCGGGACGACCCTGGCGTCCTGGAAGGCTTTCGGCGAGACGCGGCTTTGGAGAGCACACCAGGGCTCCCTAAGCTTTCCAAGAGCTTTCAGACTACACGTCGAGACATAGCAAGCAACACATCGGAACAACTCGGAGACCCTGACAAGGAAGGCACGCGCACGGGTCGCACTTCCAAGACCACACGACGCGAAAACATAAACACAACGTCGTGAAACATCACGGCACGGAGCTGTCAAACTCATCTAAACTACTGTGCGGCTTTTCTGGAGCTGGATCGATCTGGCCCCAGGCCCGAACTGGGGCAAACACGCCTGTCGTGTCTCTTAACAATCCTCGATCCTCCTCCTCCTCCTCCTCCTCCTCTTTTCAAACTGACCAGAATTTCTAGAAAGGAATCCAGCCGTTGGCCTCTCGGGTGTATACTCTGGATGCTCCGAAGCCAATTCAGATTGAGCTACCGATCGGCTACGCAGCTGCGCCGATACGCAGCACGCCACCCGTAGCGTGGTGACACGGATCCCAAAACGTACATCGAACACGTACGTCTTGCGAGATGCGCTCGCCAAAACGTGGGCCAACACGTGCCGAACCAACAAGCAACGTGCTCAAACGGAACGTTCTGAATGCGGCACGTGCTGCGCTCCAACACGGGTGCACCAGGGCAGCTCAGATCGTCCGTGCTGTGCCCTCTCGGAGGCCGTCTTAAGGGCTGCCTGGGGTCATCCTCGAGCCGAATTGGACGCTCCGGATCCTCCTCCCTCCCGCCTTCCTTCGCCCCCCTCTCCCGCGCTCTCCCGGGTGGGGCGGGCCTCGGTTGATCAGAGGCGGCCGCCGCCTCGCCACCGCGAACAGGGACACGAGCGGGTCCTCGCGCCGGGAGCCAAGAACACCGGCCGCCGACGTTGCGAAGAGGACCGAGAATCGGAATCGCATACAGTCATCGGCCTGACCTAAGGAACGATAAATAAGGAACGAAGCCCCTTTTTTATTCCAATGAAGAACGCATAAGGAACGATAAATAACACATAACGCACAAGGAACTGTAAATAACGCATGCAAGCCTAAGGAACGACCGAGCCCCTTTTGAAAAGTAAGTGTTCCTTACTCAAGCCGCTCACTGTATCTTATCATTCGGCAGAATGCGAATCGAACTCACGTCATCTGGACCCCCAACGCACGAGAAAAACGAGACCAACAGCTGCGCTGCCTGCACCCGTTCAGGTGTCATGCGAATCCCGCGAACCTGACGGCATCGCATCCGGCGCAGAATCCCAAACTTGCGCCCTTGCTCGGGACATCCTCGCAAAGTCGGCCCCAAGGGAAGGGTCAAGGGCGCTTCCTGCACTGCTTCTGGCGACGACGTCGTCACGGACCATGCGCGCTCCGCATCTCTGTGTGCAGACAGCTCCCGACTCACCACGCAATGACTGGCTTTGTATGTTGTGACGGTTTCTGTCCTGTCTGTGCCCCGAAGGTGGGCCTCTCGTCGCCGCGGCCAGATTCCCCTTGTGCCTTCAAAAGGGCTTCTCGTCGCCACGGCGAGGTTCCCTTGCTGGAAATCCGGCAACTTGCGCAGGATACTCCCCCGTCTAGGAGATGCCGTGGCGTTCGCACTCCCTACCCGTGCGCTCCGGATGACGATTCATCCTGGACCGTGTAGGCCACCAGCTGGGATGACCGAAACATGTGATTTTTCGGTTGACTGAAAACCAACTGGTTAACTGAACAACATATATTTACATATATATATGTATAGCTTTATACATATATGTATATAATATGTTTTTCAATATTGTGATGGCCGAGTGGGCCTCACTCGTAGATCGCATCGTCGTGAGATGTATCCACCCGCGCGTCACTTGTACTAACTCCTGGTCTTGGCACCGCTGCTTGTGGACATCAACCCGGTGATACTTGCCGCGTCTCTTGGGGCCCGCGTAGCGCTGAAGGGCAAGTCGGTACAGGTGTTGCCAGGGGGGGACATCTCAACTCATGCGCGTCACGTAGGCAGCTACGTTCCCCTTTCTGCGGTTGTCCTCGCAATGCGCTCCAAATGCACCGTCGGTCGAGCTCGGGCCAGGACGCAGCTAGTACTGGCATTCGTTGGTCCACATGATGGCCAAGGAGGTCAAACATGTTCCGCGATTGGCCACCTGCCAGTCAGCCTCTCCCGATTTGGGACCCGCCGCGAGGTTCATCATGGCTCGCGGCGAGACGTCGTGCAAGCGCAGCTATCCTTTCGGGTAGCTGACTGGTTCGCTACTGGCTGGATATGGGCTTGCCAGATGATGGGTGAAGACGCGCTGTGCCCCCTCCTTTCCACACTGCAAGATGACTAAGCACATGTTGTTCTTGGCGCCCTCACGTCCGAGGCAGTCGTAATATCTCAACGCCGTCGCCGCGTCGACCCTGCTGATGTCGACTGGATCTCCTTGGAACCAGCGAGGGTTCACCATCTGACCGTAGCCTGGCACAGAGCCACAAGAGGGCCCCACCCTCGGGGTCTCCCGCACTCAAGGGGGCGCCCGACGCAAGGGGCCCCGTCCCCGCGCCCGGGCCGCGCGCCCCGCCGCCCCAGGCCGCCGCCCTCCCTGCGCCTGGCTTGCATTGGCGTCCTGCCTAGTTCTATGGACACGGAACGTTGGCACCTGGTAGGGAACCCTCCTACCGGTGCCGTGGGTGATCGGTTGGGGTGCAGAGAAAGTCCAAGTCTGGGGTGCCAAGCTTGCTCCGAGAATGTGCATAACCTGGGGCTACCTCACATTTCCGGGGGCCTGGTGCAGACGGACTTTCGCCAAGTACATGTTCTTGCGAATCACGTGCGTCGCGTTGGGCCATGGGGCGTTGCCGTACTCGTCTTCAATGGCCATGACAACTCCAGGAGGTGTTGCTGGATCCGCGGGCTCCTCTTTTGTCGGCGTAGTCAACAACTCCTGCGCCGCGCCCAACCCCTGCATCATCTCCTCGACCTCGTCGACCTCCTCTGGTTGTTCGGGGATGTACGCGACGAGCGTCGAGCGATCAATCTGCGGATCCTCTGCCCTATCCCGTCGGTGCACTTGCAGCCCGTCTGTGCCTTCTGCAAGTGCCGCCGCTGATTCCTCGTGCAACTGGTTGGTCTTATCCATGCCTCTGGTCAAGATCTCGCCCCACTCTCTGGTGGCCTCATCTGTGGTCGCGGCTTCGTCCCGTGGCGGGGTCTCGCGCCGAAACATCGCGACGATCGACGGGGGGCCCTCAGCCGGTGCTACGCCCGCGTAGCCCATCGCGTCTGGTGACCACTCTGGTTCATCAGCCTTGTCTGGGCCCAGCTCTTCCCTCGGGGATGCCTCCTTCTGCTTGTTGTGCTGCTCCTTGAAGAAGACGCGGAGGGCCTCGTGGGCTTAGGCGCGATGATGATCGGGAACCGCTCCGAGTACTCGTGATTGAGACCAGGCATTCGCGCCAACTCGCAGTCGTCTCCCGACTCGATGGCGCAATCGATCATGCCCTCGAACGCGGTGCAGGCCCTGGAACTCTCGTAGTCCTGTTGCAGTCATTGGGCCTCGATCGCAATGGCATTTGCGGTGTCCGCGCCGCCTTGCGCAAGCGGAGTGCGCGTCCTGCCCGCCAACGCCCGCAAATGGATGTCGTCGTCCGTGGGCCCGTCGGCGGGCACGGGTTCATTTCTGATCTCTATGGGGCGATCCTGATGCTGGCGATGACGCTCGTGCCTGTGGCACAAGCTGGCGCTCCTCTTCCTCGGCCGCGTCGTCTCGTCCAGCTTGAGCCTTCCTCCTCTCGCGCTCGCCGCTTCCGGGCGTCCCGCTTCTGGCGCAGCTTATCGCGCTGCTTGATGGCGCCGCGCTGGCTCCTGCCCTCCCGCGCCTCCGTCAGCGCCCTCTTCCTTTGCGAGGGAGGGGCCTGCCAAGGTTCGGCTTGGTCGGCTCTCGACTCTAGACCTCCTGCTCGCCAATGATCTCAGAGATCGTCGACATGATGTGGTGTCCTTCTTGTCCATCGTCGTATTGATTCTGTGAGCCCCGATTCGCACTTGCTCCGTGAAGTGCTGGTTCCATGCCGCGTAGGTGTGAAAACCGAACGTGCCTATCTGCTTCCTGTCGAGCCTTGACTTCTGCGTCAGCTGCATCTCTGCTAGGACAGCGATGTTCTAGGATAAGACGGGAAACCCCTTGGTGTAGTTGGGCTTGTCCGGGTCCTCGTTGCCGATGCCAGTGATTCTAACTTCCTTCGTTAGTTCCATTTGCTCTCGACAACGTCTCATCGCCTACTCGTTCTCGTTGCGCATGCGGATCGCGTCCGTCCTTGCTCGCTGAATTTCCAGCGCGCGATTTATCTGGAATTCCTTGGCGGTTCTCGACCTGGCCCCCGTCTCTTCGGCGCCAGTCGCTTCCTTTCCAGCTGCCTCCAAGCCCGCGGCCCGATCCACCGTTCGAATAACACGTTCCAAGCTTTCGTGCTCCAGCTTGTAGTTCTGGGTGTTGGTCATGAGGCAAGTCATGCTGCTTTCTGGCCTCTTCTTGTTGGGCGGTCCTTTGCCTCGGAGGAGCGTTTCTTGGACGTCCCCCAGAAAATCCAAATCACGCGCATGTGCGTCGATATTCCCGACGTAACTCTACACATTCTTCATCCGACCCTGGGCCTCGGCCTCTTGCTTCGCGAAATTCTCCGCGGTCCTGGCGCAGGTCGCTGCCGACTTCTCTCGACTCTTCCTAGTGTCCGTAACGGGCTCTAGTCCATCTTCGACGTCGGGGCACCAAACGTCGCAGACGTGCTCTCGAATCCGCTTTCCTTGGTCGCCCAGGTCGCGGGTTTCGGACTTCTGGTTCCTCGCGTTGTCCGGCGGCGTGTCCCCGCGTCGCCCCTCGGCGTGGGCGCGCTCGTCCTGGTCGTCTCCAGGGGGAGTGGCGGTCGCCTGGGCGCCCTCCAGCGCTGCCTGGCTGCTCTAACACTCGCTCTGGCCGCGTCTGAGCTACGAAAAGCGGCGTGGTTCTTGGGCTCGGGCTTCTTCAGGGCCCGCAGGGCCTCTGGCTGCGTCGACGCGCTCCTGAGCTTCCTGGGCTCTTCCTTTTTGTCCTTGGACTTCGTCGGCGAGCGCGTCGAGGATCACTTCCTGGGCGGGGCCCGGCTGGGGCGACGGCGCAGGCGGCGCTGCTTTTCGAGACGAACCCTGCATCCGTGAAGCCTGAGCTCAAGCCAAGTTCCGCGGGCGCGCTGGCCAGCGAGCCCTTGGCCGTCGCTTCTTCGTCGTCCTTGTCGGCGCTCTTCCCGTCCGACCCCCAGTCGCGCTCTTCCTCCTCTCGGGGTTCCGAGGAGAAAGAGGAATCGACGATGGCGTCGGTGGCGGCTGCTGCTGGAAGAGCGGGAGCTGCCCCTTTGGCGCCCCGCCCTTGTGGCTGCCCCATGGCTCGGAGAGGGGTTGCGGGGGTGCCGGAGGAACGCGGCCGCGGCGGCGAACAGCGAAATCGCGGTGGAGGAAGTCGCACATGGAAAAGAAGACGTGACCTGCCGTAGTCGAAGTAATAGGAGGGCAAGGAAAATACTGTTGACGCGATAGTTGGCCAGGCCGTGGAGGTATATGAAGACGCGGAAGCCAGCGTAGTCGGTGACGTATCTGACGCGTTTGGTAGCGGACTGTTTCTGTTGCTAACCGATGTGCCTCGCTTCTTTGCATCTCATCCATTTCTCCAGTGGTGCGCAACTTTGCCTAATTCAACAACTGCAATATGAGCTGTAAATATCGGTAGATTTTTGCGAGCCCCCATGTCAGATTGAGCCCGGGGGGGCCACCGACTTCGCCCGCCAGAACTTTCCAAATAATGACGGATGACAATGATCCCAAATCCTGATATCCTTTCGGTCGAGAA